TCAAACTGAAGCACGTACTGTACACGGGTATTTTTTCAAACGGTGTTTTTCCTCCTCCGTTAAAAAAAAATCCCGTCCACATGAAACTGCTAAAATGCGCTGTCAAGAGCATGCCAAACCAACAGGGGGCATTATAACTCTAACCGTACTGCCATGTTAGCCAATCAGAAGCCTAATTGCCAGTCCTGTTAAGTTGAAAACCATGGCGCACATTCCGACACCTGTCTTGATCAATATAATGCGAGAATGACTCAACATGTATCTGTACACATGTAAGAAGTCCTGTCAGCAAGGTTAGCACAAGCATTATTTCCGCTAAGTCCGCCATTGCTCAAACTCGCCTAATGTATACAGCAAACAGCACACGCTTTGACGTTAAAAAAAGTGGACAACGGTGCACAATCTGACGTTTCGAGCCAAAAACTCTGTTTTCCCTGTCTACATGTCGGCGCTGAAGCCGGACTTTCTTAAAATCTTCACCCTGGATGGAGTTTTGCAAAAGCTCCGTTTTCAGTGACCTAAGACGCCATTTACGTGTGGCCAAAAGCCCAAGACGTATAGAAAAAGGTACTTTTAAATATTGCCCATGTACGTGTGGACAAGGCATCTGTCTGAACAGAGCTAAGGAGCCCATGAGAATCTATTTATTATCAAAGCAGAAACATCCGTCCCAGAAGAAGACAATCTATTGTCCAGTCATGTTTAATCAATATAGAGCAGTAGCTTTTTTCCAGCTGCATGCTGAGGATTGACGTTTAAAATACACTTTTCAATCTACCTTCTAATTTCAGCTCGCAAGAACTCAGTCTTTACAGTAATCCTCATCCTTTTACCTAAGAACTAATTTATACAGAAGACAGACAAAACTTCTGTTTACATTTTCAAAAACAATGGGATTTGCAAAAGTTAAAAAAAAATTGAAAGTTGAAGATTTTTTTTCCTTGTAGCTTGTGTTTGCCTGTATGTCTTTTGACTGAGAGCCTGAGTGTTTTAAACAATGTTTAAGTGTATATTTACCTTTGACCTGTAGGAAAAGGTCCCTCTCTGAAGCTCATTGGTAGGTCCATTGACCTGTCACTCTTCATGGAAACACAGCTGGTTACAGGTGAGCCTGCTCTCTCCATCAGGACACTGTGGACAATGAGAGGAAAGATCCTCATTATATAAATATAATCCATATACTGTGGACAGGGTCACATTAAATCTTCAGCTGTTTAACCTTCTGCTCTGTCTTCGTGTACTTTGTTATGCTGTGAAGCTCTTGATGCAAACATGCTTGTTTGCATTTAGCTTTAATGTGAAATAGTGTCTCACCTAAAATGAAGATACCAGTATGAAAGGTTTAGTATCATTGTTACAGCCTTCGTTGCTATACTTGCCTGTTGTTGCCTGATATTATACACTCACCTAAAGGAATATTAGGAACACCAT